AATGGAGGCCAAGGGTTGGGGGAAAGAGAGCTTAGGGGAGTGGGAGGTCCCAGCTGGATCAGGAACAGAGTGAGAGAACAAGGAAAGAGATACCATAATAAGTGAAGGCCCCATGGGAATAAGAAGAAGTAGAGTGCTAGAGAGGTCCCCAGAAATCCACAAAGACACCTCCACAGTAGACTACTGGCAATGGTTGAGAGAAAGCTGAGCTGACCTACTTTGGTGATCAGATGGCCAAACACCCCAACTGTCATGATAGAACTCTCATCCAGTGACTGATGGAAGCAGATGCAGAGTTCCACCACCAAGCCCCAGGTGGAACTCCAGGAGTCCAATCGGTGAGAGAGAGGAGGGATTATATGAACAAGAGATATTGAGACTGTGATTGGAAAAAGCACAGGGACAAATAGCCAAACTAGTGGAAACACATGAACTATGAAACAATAGCTGAGGAGCCCCCATGGAACTGGATCAGGCCCTCTGGATAAGTGAGACAGTTGATTAGCTTGAACTATTTAGGAGGCTCCCAGGCAGTGGGACTGGGACCTGTCCTTAGTGCATGAGCTGGCTTTTTGGAACCTAGAGCCTATGCTGAGACATTTTGCTCAGCCTTGGTGCAGGGAGGAGGGGACTGGACCTGCTTCAACTGAATCTACCAGGATGACCTGAATCCCCTGGGTAGACCTTGCCTTGGAGAAGGTGGGAATGGGGAGTGGGTTGGTGGGGGGGGGCTGGAGGTGGGAGGAGGGAGGACAGGGGAATCTGTGGCTGATAAGTAAAATTAAATTAATTATAAAATATAAAAAGAATCCACTACCTCTACTTGTTAGACTAGCACAAAACCTTACTGTATTCTAAATCTTATCCTTATATCCACAGATAAGTTTTATTGCAAATGAATCCTATCACAGGTCACCAAAAGTAGATTCAATACAGGGATCAAACTATTGAGGGGATCCCAGCCTCAACAGATGACATCTACACTAAAGATCCTGCATATACAACTCAGAGAACAACACAGCATGGAGGGGCAAAAAGATTTTAAGGTCAAGAACACCAGGAAACCTGTTGTGATCTAAATTATAGAATAGGGCAGTCTAATTCATTTCAGTACCAAAGGGAAACTGTACTTTTCATAGAAATATAATCCTCTGGTTATTTTTATGTTTTACTGTTGTCACATCCTGGGATAATATCTTACTGTAACTTCTGAAACCAGCATGAATACATACAGAATGACTTTTCAAGAATGAATACTTGGAACTTTGAGTGAGAAGTTAATTGACCAATAAGGAAAGGTTTGAAACTCTCCTAGGATATAGTTAATTCAATTCACAGAAGGTTTTAATCTTTAGGAGGAAAATTATTCCATTTGGCTTCTTATAAAGAAGAGGACGATGACTGCTCTTCTCACACAAACTGTTAGTTATTGGCTTTGATTTCCCTTTGCATGCTTGGAAACACCACAGTACCACTCCAATCCAGTTTTTTGATTCACAGAGATTAACATAAAGTAATATGTAAAATATATTGACACAGTGACCCACAATGTGCCATGTTCTATGACTTTTAAAAGACACTGTAAGGTTCGAAGTAAGGAAGGTGTTTGGATTGAAATTCAATTTGTAGAAAATGAGTCAAATGAACCATTTCTCAATTTGCATTTCCAAATTTTAGTTCGCTTTCACAGAAAACTTAAAAAAAAAAAATTACCCGAGTCCTAGTTCTCATGATTTGAGGGCCAGACTCGGTTGTGCTGTATTGGCTGCTCTTCTCAGCAGAGTGATGGGATTGCAGTTCCTTGTGGGTTCTGTATCTCACTTGACTGAATATTTAAGACAATGATATTGGACAGTAGCCCTGAGTAATTTCCCAGCGTCTGCTTGTTGGGAAAATAATCTACTCTTTTGTGTTTGCTCCTAGAGATTTCCCTTTTCTCTTTTTTCCAAAGCAAGAGTTGGGGAGAGGAGACTGGGACTCTTTCTACTCTTTGTTTCCATTATAACTCTATTAATATTTCTGTATTTTATCCATTCTTGCTTATTGACTGCAATGGTCACTTGCAATTCGGTGCTTCTCACAGTTTGATCACATGGATTATGTTTTTTTTTTTTTTTAAATTTGTGGAGACTTAGTAGAATATTGCTCATATTAATTCTACCATTGTATTGATATCAACAAATATTTGTTGAAATAATGATATATCCTTGATATTATTAGTGAATCTTAATATATTACATGTAATTCAGATATGAGAGTTCATTGTTATGATATGAAAGGTCCATGGGAAATATTACAGAATAAAATGGCAATTCAATTGAGGAGTTGAAGCACATGAAAGAAAAGTCTGAGAGAAATAATAGGGTGCTTTATATAAAAAAAATAAATGTTTTCATTGAACTAAGGTAAATATTCTTATTTTTGATGCATTTAAAATATCACTTTCATTCTTGATTAGTCTTAGATTTAAAGGGAATTCGCCAACACATTACAGCAAAATCCCAAATGCTTCTTATTCACTGTCAGCATGTTCAGTTACATGATTTCACTTTAGCTTGGCATGTTTGTTAAGAATAAGGAATAAACATCAGAGTTCAAAAGATTTTATATTTTGTTTGTATTTCATTGGTTTTCATATATGTCAGAATATCAATGCGTTGAACCTGGCCTCAGGATTGAGAGAAGGTGAGTACAGGACCATGGCAGCCACAGAAGCAAGGGCAATACCTGTGCAGATGGACAAACGCTTAGGGACCACAGTTAAGGCGGGCTGTCTGTGCTATGGGTATGCTTCCTGGTCAATTCTACTATCTAATATTCATAGGCTATTTTCCATTGCACAAAGGTCAACATCATAAAGTCTGCTGATGGCTTGGATGCTTCTAGAACTAACTATAGTTCTGTATGAATGTTTACGTTTTCTTATAGGTGTTAGTATTGCCAAGCCAAGGGCCAAAGAGTTGACCTGACCCCAAAGATAAGTTCAGCTCCAGAGATGAGATACAGGGTCATATCTGGAGGGTCCAAATGTAGGTGGATGATTGACAGCTTTACTAGGCCATGTCAGCAGTGGGGACTGATATGAGCTAGAATCCCTAGGACAATCAGGAATTCTCTGCATTTCTGTCCCTTAACATACACATGGGGACCCACACATCTCAATGCTGTGTCTCCTCTTTAGAATAATCAGGTGAGGTTGCTCTGATTTTCTTGTTCTGAAGTTCTTTGGCTTTGTTTTACTGACATGTTTTGAAAACTCTCATGTGCTCAGATAGTTCCAATCAATTTTAATGAGTTTATAACTAGGTATTATTTTACTCAAGAATAAATTATCATTCTCTTCCTGAAGGGCAAAAATGGTTTTCATGTTTACAAGAAGGAAGAGAGTCAGTCGAACTCTGTATGTCTAAATAAGAGAGTTACTACTTGTAAAAGGCCACCAGAGGAGTGATTATCATGAAAACCAGGTCTTTACAAGGAGCATCTTTGGGCAGGGCCTAGCCCATGATGTCAGTGGTAGTGTGGGCAATGAATAGAGAAAGAGAAGGGGAGGGATTGGAGATCATCTTCCCTGCTGCTTCCTCCCTTCAATAGAGGGATGCAGGTGCTCTGCCATTGTTAAGCAAGTGTACTGAAACTTCTGAATCCATGAGTACAAATAAAGATTTATTTATTTCTTCTAAAATGATGTTGTGTATTTGTCTTAGTGAAAAAAATTATGACTAATTGTTTTTCATTACCAATCAAGAAGAGTTAAACCTAAGACCCGAGAACCCAAGAGGGACAAAACATACCAAGTGGTTTAGAATTTTACTAAAAATGGACTTGAGTTTTGAGTAACAAAGAATGGATACTGGAACAGGCATGCACTTTTACATGACCAAAGTGATGTAGCTCATGCCTTCAGAGAAGACAGGAAAAAGACAGTTTCAATAATAATAATAGTGTTACAGATTAGCCTGTTGTTATTGAACTAGAAGGTGAAAATTCATGTAATCTTAAGTGTGAGAAGTTTTAGAACAAGAAATGTCTTCTGTGTAATTTAATTCTACTGATAAAACTTCTATTGCTTCATATTTCTTTGAAGGAAGCCACTGTTAGCAGATTTAAAAATCTTTGATATTTATTTTCCCATTTTATTTCATTCCGAAAAATAATATGCAAATGGCTATGTTAAGAATTTAAAAATGCAAGCCGGGCGGTGGTGGTACATGCCTTTAATCCCAGCACTCAAGAGGCATAGCCAGGTGGATCTTTGTGAGTTCGAGGCCAGTCTGGGCTACAGAGTGAATTCCAGGAAAGGCACAAAGCTACACAGAGAAACCCTGTCTCAGAAAAAAAAAATTAAGGATTTAAAAATGCATTTGAAGCTACAATTTAAAATACAAAATTAAAAGCTGATTTCACTGTTTTCCAATGTATAATGTGGCTTGGTAGTTGATACCCTGCTCTGCCAAGTTGAAAAAACTCAAGCAAAGTAGAAAGTAAATATGTCATGGAAAAATCACTGTCTAAAAATTGGGCACAAGATGCAGACCATAACAAATTCAAATGGCAAGGGCTCACCATCAAAAGCTTTATGGGAAGCAATACCAGACTATGAATCCTTCATCTGCTTTGAGGACTTTATGCTATAAGAGTGTCAAGGAGATCCATTCTCTGAGGAAGACCCCCAACATTTTCAAAGCTTTCCTTTAAGTGTTCTACCAGGTATGCACAGTGAAGATTTCAGGGGCATATAACCCTACCAGGCCTCCAGGAGAAGGTGGTGGTGATGCAGGAGCAGCCGTTTGTAATGTATGAGTGAAGGCTGTTCTACTTACAAAGGCCAGTCTTCAAAAACAAGCCCATTTCCAGTCCCTTATCTGAGGTTTGTAAGAACCTAACTGACTTGAGTGGATATGAACATCCAGCTCAGACTTAAGACCTCCCCATGATCGCCCACGTGCGCGTGCACGCGCGTTCTTTCCTGTTCTTCTCTGGTTATCCAGTGTACTCGTTGCTCGCACATGCGCTGCTCTTGGCTTCCCCCGGAGGCTCGTTTCCTGGTTGGGTCCATCCCATCCCCAGTAAGAAAAAGTGTCTTCTCTAGTGATCCGAGGTAGGGGCGTGTTTTTGCGTCCTCGTTGGGGTTCCCTCCCGCATGTCCCCCTCCCCCGCCCTGCCCCAACTGCCCGCCCCGACCGTCCAATGTAGCTTTGGCCGGTGTACCACGCCCGTCTTCGGAGGAACCCGAGTGTCTGTGTTCCTGGCCTACCGCAGCCAGTGCTTCCCAGGAGGGATCACGCGGGGCAAGAGCAGTCATCATGGAGCGTGCTTGGAGCCCCAGGGGGTTCTCGTGGTTTAGGGGACGAGGGGCCCGCGTGTACGCTCGCGTGCCGATTTTTCTTTTCCACATGGAGAAAGGGACATAGGATTGCAGGAACAGGGCCTGGACAAGACTGGGTTTGTCAACATTCAGTCATAGATGGGGGAGGGTCTCATAGGCCCTAGGCCCTTTCTAGGAAGGTATTGGCAGTTGGTGGCTTCTGGAACAGGGGGAGTCATTATCTTCAGAGATTTAGCCATTGGTGATTTGTCTTTGCCCCGGGGATCACTATACACATGACCATATGTGTAGCTCAGATCACACCCAGTGGTTCACTACCAACCAAACAAAAAGACATGAAGCAGGAGAGTGAGTTATTGGGAAAAGAGTTTATAATTCATGGGAGTTGGAGGGAAATAAGAGATTCTGAGATTGATTGTCATTAAAATCTATCAGATACTTGTATGAACTTATCAAAAAGGAACTTAAAGGGAAAAATCATGATAGTTAATAATTTATAAGCACAAAAGTTCAAAGTCTGAAGCATAAAACGTTTCCACTCACTTTTGATTAGACAACTGTGAGGAAAAGTGAGTGGCCCATGATGATTTTACTGGGAATCCTGCCATGAAATAACATGTTCCTTTAAAGAAAGAACAAGGTTGGGCCGTTAGTTGTGAAGTGATGCTAATTACTAGCTGCCTGCTTCTTCCATAGCCGGTTCAGAACACGTTCTCGGCTGCCTCTGACCATTTTTAGCATCTTACTGGAAGGAAGAGAGGTTGGTTTACTAATTTTATTGTATTTATTTTGAGTCTCTATTATCCTTGTTCTTTCTTACAGGACTAGAAAGAGAGCCTAATAAGAGGCACAGGCAGGACACCAGGGGGTTCCTAGTTAAATTCCATGGGAAACCAAGACTTTGCCCACTAAGTCCAAGAATCTGTCCAGCAAGTTGATGGAATCGTCTTGTTGGTGCCCAACTCCGGGCCCTTCAGGCTTATGGGCCATGCTACTGACGTTTGCTGGCTCCACTTGTTGCTTGTGAGCACAACATGTTCTCAGGGAAGTCAAGACTGTAGACAGGTCTAACATGTTTTTATCAGCATTGGCCAGGTCTCCAAATGATGTATCAACTTGATGGGAGGCACAGAGCATCTTCTCCAAGGCTTCTACAATATTTTCTTCACCTTGGCAGTCAATCTTGTCCAAAACAGCCTTGATGTTTGCTTTGTAACCAGCAGATGTGGTGGATTCTTTCGGTGTCTGAGTCAGAGTTTGAGGTAGAGATAATTTTTTTTATAACAAGGTTTACAGTAAGAAACATAAGACTTATCTATTTATATTTGTGCAAAATGTAATAAAATGGGAAGAGGGGTTGAGCTTGTGACTTATCCTAGGCCACAAATGGAGCACAGGCTCCTTGTCATCTGTAGTTACAGAGAGTTTGGCTCAGCGCATGAGCCATAGTCCCACTGTACTCCATCAGGATTATTTCACAGGTTTGGAGCACATTCTCCTGGGCTGCTTAACATACAGCTTTCAGATAGTAACACACACACACACACACACACACACACACACACACAACCAAAAAAACCAAAAAAAAACCAAAAAAAACCACAAAAAAACAAAAAACAAAACGAAACAAAACAAAACAAAACAAAACAAAAAACTCCCAGACAATTTGGGGACAGTAAATTGATCATTGATTGACTGAAGGGACTGTTTCTCAAGTTTGTTCAAGTTAGTGGTAGAAATGCAACTGATGAGCTATTAGCACTGGTTCAAATTGGCACATTATCGCTTAGATGTGTGTATGTGAGGATCAAGTGTAGGTGTAGAACAATGCTTGTGAATTGTCTGACCAAGGTCTAAGGATGATTTTCCACAACAGTGTGGGGTCTTATGGGTAAGAGAAATATTTTAAGCATATGTGAACATAGCGTCATTATATATTTTCTCTAGTATTTCAAGGTTTATTCACTCCTCCATAACCAAAGAATGATTTTCTTTTAGCGTATCAGAGTTCTTTTCTTCACAGACCTTACCATATAGTATGGTAATTGTCTACTCTATGTCTATGTGCAGTGGGTAGCTGTTCCAGCTTTGACCTGGAAGTACTAACCCCACTGAGGCTTTGGTAACTCATGCCTATGAGGCAGAGCCGAGAGAGGAGCCCTTAAGACCCGAGATCCAGAAGTGCTGGTTTTCTTGGTTCCTGGATCCTGGACGCTGGAGGCAGACTGAGCAGAATTCTCCAGGGAACACTGCTGGACTGCTCTACAACTTTCCCGGACCCTGTAACCGACCCCTTTACTTGTAAGTTACCCCACAAAATAAACCTCCCTTTTAACTATGTAGGGTTGCCTTAATACTTCTACCAATATCTATGTCTATCTCCTGTTTTACATTTCCATGAACATGAGCCATTAGTGAGTGCTTAAACCAATAGACTAAACACACTTACCAATTCCTGGTAGAAAGAAAGCACTTGCTAGGCATCTGTAATACTGAATCACTGCATTTTTTAAAACTCAAAATCAAGTACAAAACAAGTTTATATCAAAACTCAAAATGAGTTTTCTTAGAGAAAAATAGTAATTTTCTACCTCTTATGCTATGCTTTTATTTGTATAAAATTCTTCTGAAGAGATGTGTTTTCCAATGAGTATCAGTGGAGTTTTTATTAGGAGGGCAGAAATTTAAAACATTTTTCACAATTATGTATAAACTATAGCAACTTTCCAGACTTCATTTTGATTGAACCATATGTAATCAAATGGTTAGCAACCATCTATATGACACAGAGGAAGAAGGGGTTATATATATCTCTTGAGATTGCAGGAAACTTCACATGCTATAGAGTTTAAAGGATAATTTTGGCTGTTGGTACGCAGATTCAACTTTATTTGAGACAAGGTCCTTTTTTTGGCTGCTGGATTCTTCTGCCTGTGGGAGTATTGCCATTGAAAACAAGCTTTCTGTCTAAACTCAAGTTTTAATGCTTTACTGACTGACAGGTATCTCAAGCCTCTTGCTGTGCATCTTTGATGTCTGATAAGGACCATGCATTTGTAGTGCATTTCACTTTTCAAGTGTCCAGTTCCCATATGGTACTGATGAGTACTTTACCTGCCAGTGTTAGAGAGTGCATCCTTATTCTCTTATCTAGAAAGACTTTTAAGTGCTTCAAGACCCCAATGAGAATGCAGCACTCAACAGATCCTCTGGATTCCTATACTCTCCAAGCAGTGTACCATTTCATAAAGTTGTTTGGTAGATCTGAGATAATTGTGCATTTTAAACTTACCTCTCTCCCTTAGTGAGAATAGATGACAGCAACAGAGTTGTGAGAAACAGCATCACTGGGAAAGAAGCCATGACTGAAACTCATCAACAAAAAAGTTCCGGTTAATTAAGCAGTGGGTGGGACACAGAACTAACCAACACACTGACCGAAATATTGCCAAAACAAGTATGTATGGCTGACAAATTCATAACAATATAAGGGAAGAATTGTCATGTGGGGTCCTGTAGTTTCATTGTGCTCACCTTGCCTCTACTAGGCACAATACATAAACTAAAGGACTTGACTGATGTCCCTGTTGTGAACTTGCAAAGGCTAGAGAATTCTTTCTTTCTGCACAGGTCTATTCCTCTGTTCTTAAAAGGAAATGTAGAAAACAGATCCAGTTTCAATTTTCTTTTCACTTTGTACCACAGCAAGTTTTGCAATTTCCTGTGTATATTGGACACAAATCAAAATACCAGGGTTGTGATTATGCAGCTATAAACATACAAACATCTCAGAAGTGTCATCTGTGAAGAACCATTGAAAGTTATGCCAGTTTTGACTTATATTCATATCAATTTCCACTATTTTCCTTCAATTTGAAAATATGAACACAATAGTAATTGTATATCTATTCTATTTAATCTCACTTAATCCATGTTTTGTTAGGTGGGCTGTTTCATATTTTCATTAAGTTTTAAACACACTGCACTCATTGTACAAAACGTCCCTTCTCAATGAGTCACAAAGTTGTACATCCTGAACGTGCTTTGAAAAGACCATTAGTGTGGGATGCGCTCACCTTCCTTCTGGAACTCATACAAATGGCTTACATGGTAAATTAAAGGTGTGGTGTCTCACTTTGTATACTTTGTGTACTTTCAAAGTCCTCAAAATCTTTTCTTTTTTTTAAAAGTATGTAATTTGCTCAATCACAAGGAAGATCCATTATCGTCAAAGATCTAGTACACTTTACATTTTTATACCATTTCTCCTTCCCCTTCTTCCGTTCAAGCCCTCCCATATACTCCTTAATGCACTCATTGCCTGCATTTCGTTGCAATTCATGACTAAAATTTTCGTCAAAATGTCCCCACAGAAATCTGTTATGTCTTTTTCCTTGATCTTCCCTCATAGACACCAACAACTGCCCAGGATCTAGAAAACATTCCAGGTTACCCTGGATCTCCACACACTCAGTGCCCAGACCTTCCAGAATGACAACCTTGATTCTTCTTCCTGGTAGACCAGTAGGAGTCAATTGCAAGGAATGCTTCTGCTCCCTAGGACACTTACTTTAGGGCCCAGAGTTTAGGCAAAATGTGGCCTCACTCTTCTTAATCATGGGCAGATGAGGAAGTTCATTTGAATTGACCTTTCTAGTCATGAGCATGGTGTGTTGCTCTGTATGACTCCTCAACTGCCCAGCTGGACAGTCCCTCCATTTTCCTGTCTGTTTCAAAGATGGAAGCTCTGATGTATCACTAACGCCACAATCTTAACCGGGTAAATAATGTCATCTTACCAGGGAACTTCTTTTCCTGGGCCACAGTCGTGGATCAGATTGCTTGTTCCAAAGGCTTTCAGTCAGGTCAGCTCCTGTTGCAGGCTCCTGTGCTCCTGTGGTTGTCTAGGTCTCCTCTTTTATTGGGTAGAGGGCGGGTCTTTAGAGATTTGTTTTCTGATGTGGCCATGCTGAATTGGCTGCTGATCCCAGCAAATCAATTTAATTGCAGATTTCTCTTGGTTTTTGCTTCTTTCTCATTAAATATTTAAGAGAGTGACCTTGGACAGCAGCCCTGAGTAATTTCCCATTACATTGGCTGTCTTTGCTCCAGAGGATCTTTCTTAGCTCGTTTTAAAAAACAAGATAAGGGGAGAGGAGTTTCACACTCTTCTCTACCCTTTGTGTCTAGACTTGAGGTACCACTTTGCTTTTCCCATTATAAATGAATACCCAATGCTTGTGTATTTATCTAGTATTTCTTAGTCTGTAAAGTATTTTTTGTTATTCTTCCCTCATAGAAACCAATAATTGCTCAGAATCTGAAGAAAAAAATCCAGTTCACTCTGGATCTTTACACACTCTGTGCCCATACCTTCCAGAGTGACAGCTTTTATTCCAGTTTCTGGTGGATCAGTAAAGAATGAGTTATGAATAGTGTTCCTGTTCCAATGACATTTACCTTAGGGTCTATGTTAGACAAATGTTAGACAAACTGTGGCCCCACTCTTCTCAATCATAAGGAAATTCATTTGAATCGAGTTTTATTGTCATGTACTAGGTGTGTTGCTCTATTATGTCTCACCTGACAAGTTTCATTTCTCAAGATTGCTGGGTATTTCACAGACTGAGGCTCTGACGTGTCATTGGACACTATACTCTTAATCTTAACATTGTAAATACTGCCCTTTTATTATGAAACTTGCTTTCACCCTCCACAATCTTAGCTTGAATGGCTTGTTCCATAGACTTTCAGTCAGGTCAGCTCCTGGTGCAGGCTCCTGTGTGGCTCTGGGTCTCTGGGTCTCTCTTTCACTGGGTAGAGGGCAGGTCTTTAGAGTTTGAGGCCACACATGGTTGTGCTGCACTGGCTGCTCTTCCCAGCAGGCTGGCTGGTGAGATTGCAGAGTTTCTCTTGGGTTCTGCTTCTTGCTCATCAGAATATGTGAGAGAGTGACATGGGACAGCGGCCCTGGGTAATTTCCCAGCATCTGTTAGGTGGGTCGGTGATCCACTATTTTACTTTTGTAGTCTTTGCTCCAGGGGATTTTCCTTTACTCCTTTTAAAGCAAGATATGGGGAGGGAAGAGTCTCCCTCCTCTTTATGCTTTTTATTTAGCTTGTTGGGTCCCAGTTTGCTTTTCCCATTATAAATGTATTATTCAGTGTTTGTGTTTGTTTATAGTCTTTCCTATACTGCTATTTAATGCACCATTACCTTGTCTTTCAATGATTCTCACATGTGTGATTACATTGTTTTCTTTTTCAGATTTGTGAGGATTTAGTAGGATATTGGTTGCCTCTATTCTACCATCTTTATCAACAAATGTTTGTTGAAGGGAGGAATTATTTATCCTTGCCATTATTAGAGAATCCTGATACTGCATAGACACATAATTTATATTTGACAGTTCATTGTTGTAATATGAATGGTCCACAGGAAGAGAAAACAAAATAAAACAATTCAATTGAGATATTTGGAGCTTATGGAGAAATTCTGGGACATAATTAAAAAATATTTTGCAGAAAATAAAGGAATTGTTCTCATTGAACTAAGAAATATATTCTTCCTATCGTCCATTTCAAAAAATCATGATCATTTTAGAGTTTTCCTAGATTTTAAGGTAATTTGGCAAGACATTCCATCAAAATTCCAGATACTCCTCATTCACTGTTAGCTTATTCAGTTATATGATTTTACTTAGCTTGTTGTGTTTGTTAAGACTAATGCTCCAATACTTGAACTCACACAATTTTACATTTCCTATGTATTTCATCAATTCTCCCACATCCTCTTTTTTCTTCCACAATCTGATTCAAAATGCCTTGTTACATTCAATTGTCACATCTTAGTCTCTAGTTGCCTGCAACTGTTTCTCAGATTTCTTTATTTTTCATAAGTTTCAGTGTTTTTGCAATGCCCAGTTACTTTAGTAGTATTTTGAAGAAAATTCCACAATTTGAGGATGACTTACATTTTTAGCTTATAGTTAGACCCACAGTACCACAGTCTCTGAAGTCCTTGGAATTATAGCCCAAGTAAACTTTACAAAACATTTATTAATGAAGCTTTCTATACTATCTCCTACATAGGCCTCAGGTCTTTGTTTAAAACACTTGCTGTACTGTAGAGGACAAATGATGAACTCATGCAACTGAATGGAAGTATAAACAAGCCAGTACAAAAAGCATTGGAAGAATAGATTAGAATAAAGTGTTGGAAAACCTGGTAAAGCTTAAGGATCTAAAAAGCCAGATGTTTCAAACCATTATCTGTAAAGTTAAATAAACAGAATTAAAAGCAGATTTCACTGTCTTCTACTGCATATTAAATCATGGTATTTGATACCCTGCCCTGCTAAGTTGAGAAATCTCAAGCAAACTAGAAAGTATACATTATGGCAAATTACTGTCTAAGAATTGGGCACAAGATACAGATCATGACAAATCCAAATGTCCAGGATCCACCATCAAAACCTCCTTGGGAAGCAATACCAGGCTATGCATCCTTCATCTGCTTTGAGGGCTTTATGCTATGTGAGTGTCAAGGAGATCCACTTTTTATGAAGACCCCTATACTTTCAAAGCTTTTTTTCAAGTGCTCTACTAGGTACACACAGTAAGATTTAGGAGGAATATAATCTTACCAGGCTTTCAGGAGAAGTTGGTGGTGCAGCAGGAGCAGTCATTTGAAGTGTAAGTGTGAAGTCTGTTCTGTTTACAAAGGCCTGTCTTAAACACTTTACTAGCCCCTTATCTGAGGTTTGTAAGAACCTAACTGACTTGGATGAATATGAAAATCCAACTCAGACTTATTTTTCTTTTCCACATGGAGGAAGGGACATTGGATTGCAGGAACAGTTCCTGGACAAGACTGAGCTGATCAATATTCAGTCATAGATGGGATAGGGTCTCAGAGGACCTAGGTCTTGTCCAGAGAGGCATTGGCAGTTATTGCTGCTGGAGCAGGGAAGTCATTATCTTCAGTGGCTTAGTACCTGGTGATTTGTCTTTGTCCCAGGGATCACTTCATACATATGTGTGGTAGTCCAGGTTAAACCCAGTGAGCTCCAAAACATGACACATGAAGCAGGAAAGTGTTATAACAGTATTATGCATGTGTTATACATAAAGCAGGAGAATAGGAAGTGAGTTTATAGTTCATGGGAGATGGAGGGAGGTAACAGTCTGAGATCTGAGTGTGATCAGAATTTACCATATGCTTGTATGCAGTTATCGAAACAGAAGTTAAAGAGAAAACATCATGATAGTAAATATTTTATAACCATAAAAGTTTTTAGTTTGAAGCACAACAGGTTTCCATTCATTTTTTTCCGTTTATAATTAGGTTTTTTTATTTTTATTTTA